GTGCTAGACTGGTTCTGGACATTTCGATGATGCCTGATCTCTAGGTTTTGTAGGTTTTCAGTGAGAAAATACATGTAAAGTGCTAGGCACAGGGTGGTCCCTCAGTAAATAGCAGATACAAAAATGGTGATGGGTCCCCTCCGCGTTGGTTTAAGTTCATGCCTGGGGAGATTGCAAATATCACCACAAGGTGGCACCACAGCTCTCCTCCACCACAGAATTTACCTGTTGCATTCAGGTCCTTCCTGGGTTGCCCTGCATTGCTCAGGCAGCTTCCAGGATCTCCTGGCGGGGAGTGCGCTCACTCACCAGAAAGGGAATATGGTCCATGGGTCTTGGGGGAGGAGGACAGTGAAGAAGGGGCCAGTTGACGTTTCCTCTGTTTAAAGATTTGCCAAGAATGCTCAGCTATTCCTCACACGGAGGTTTCTCGTTTTGATCCCCGATGACTTGGCTTGTTCTTAGGAGACGCAGCAGGAGGAATTAAGGGTGAAGTGTTGTGATGCCTACAACTTACTTTCAAGTGGTCCAAGAAAACATTTGTAGAGAGACAGAGAGAAAGAGAAAGTGTTAACTGCTGAAACCCAGGAAAATATTTATAGAGAAAGAGAGAAAGGGAGGGAAGTGAATGTTAACAACTGGTGAGTCCAGCTGGAAACTCACGGTACTACTTGCAACTTTTCTGTAGGTTTGAAATTCCCGAAGTAAAAGATAGGGAGAGGCTATAAAATATTACTTACAGTATAATCCTGATTCTGAGTAAAAAGAGGGAAGACTGGAAATGTGTTCATCTACAGTAACACTAATCATGTTTAGGCAGTGAAGCGTGAGTGATTTTTTTTTCTTTGTATTTTCCCTATTTGTAACTTTTCTACAAAAAATATGCATTAGTTTGGAAATTTTTAAGTAACGGTTGGAAAAAACAAGTCGAGTATGAGGTTAGGTCACGGTTGCAGCAGGGCTGTTCTCTGGGGTTGCAGGTCATAGCATGGAGCCTTCTGGTGCTCTTGCTTGATCAGGCCCAGAGAACTCACTGTTTAATGAGTATATTTCCATTTCTATCCTTTCTGTCTAACCCCCTCCTTTAAGTGGCGTAGGAAGGGTGAGCCTTCCCCCTTCACCTAGAGCCAACTGGCTGCCCTCCTGTGGGAATGGACTACAGGCCCGCAGCTCCAGCCCTGGCCACTCACCTCCTGCCTGGTTGCCCAGGGCCTGAGCAACTCAGGACGCCTCAGCCCCTAACTGGCAGTCTCCCTCCCTCAACCAAGGTGCAGGTAGAGGTTACTCCTCAGACACCTGCTGAACCCTTCTTAACCCAATGAGTGTAGAACTACAACTATAACAGAGAAATTCCCCGCTTTAAAAAAATGTTACTATTTCTGATATATGTTATATATGCACTTGTAGAGATTTGGAAAACAGGACAATACAAAAAAGAAAATTTAAATACCCCACAATCCATCACCCAAAGTCAGCACTGCCATTGACCTGCTAGTTTATTTCCTTCAGGTTTTGTCCTTAGTGCTTTCGCTAAGTTGAGATCATGTTCACTTTTTTAAGCTGGCTTTATGTTCACTCCAGAATATAATTTAACTGACTTTTTAATTTTAAGAAAAACTTCCTTGTCAATATGTTTTTAATGCCTATATGTTTTCCATGGAAAGGGTGTCTATGGTACACTTCCCCATCCCCCTGTTGGATCTACTCTCATAAGGAGAAGACAGTCCCTTCTGCCCCGACCTGCTCCAGTCTCTGGAACCCCACAGGCCCATCCTGGCCCCCAGTAGGAATGGGAGGGACTCCTCCACCTCTCCCTTCCCATCTATCTCTCTTCCCCTGTTGGCACAGCTTAGCTCCACAATCCCACACCGCAGCCCGTCCCTGGGAAGGACCCCCAGTGGCTGGGTGAGGTGGAGGGCCCTGGGGGCCGGGGGCAGGGCTCGGGGCTGAACGAGCAGTTGGAGTTTGGGGAAGAGAGAAGCTCAGGGAGGTGCTCCCTAGGTTCAGGGACCCAGCAGAGGCTGGGACGGGTTGCACTGTGTGGTGGGGACAGGCCCAGCTTAAAGAGACGTTTACTTGGGCCTGATCACAGTATCAAATCATACCCCTCACGGCAACTCATTTTCTGAATTGGGCCCCAGCAATCACTTAGGAAACATTGATTTAAAGAAGGCTCTTCCTGTTCTACCTCCTCTGAGGTCTGATATCCCAGGGTACCCCGCCTCCAACATTTTATTGTGTTAAACATACAGCAACTTTGAGAAAAACGTCAGTGAACACCCACAGACCCACAAGCTAGATTCCGTCATTCACATTTTACTCCCCTTGTTTCTCACACATGACCATAGATGTCTGAAGACTAATCTTACCTTTTTTTCCCTCTATTTACCCCTTGTATCTAAAACAGTTTCCAGTGGCCCTAAAACTAGGTGAAACTTTAAGGCAATGGATTCATGTGGCAATAGATTCAAAGTTTCAAACTTGCATTAAATAGCCTGCCCAAGTTGTTTTCACAAAACCTGCACTTGGGACTTATAAATAACCAGTGTGAAACGGAGCCTGCCTTTAGGGCTTTGAAAGGGGGCCAGTTAGCACCAAATGTCCCCTGCCAACTCCCTCGGCAGGCTGGCTTCTGCTCCCATCCAGCCTGGGCCTCCAGGGCACCATTTCCATCTGGCTCCACTCCCTGTGTATTGTCTGCCATCTCGGTTGGGTCAGACTTTTGATCACAAGACAGAAATTTCAGGACACAGGAAGCTGACAGGAAGTGCTCTCTCTCTCTCGCCTCACCCCCTTTATCCCCCGTGGTCAAGCAGAACATGGGCTTCTGGGCTGATCTAACGTCCCAGGTCCACACGTTTCCTTGGCAAGGGGGTGGGCAGGCCCTGTGTGGACACCAGGTGACATTTCCCTCGTTGGTGGAGGGTAAGGGATGGTATTCTGACCCTCTTCTTTACTATCCCTGGGAGGGAGATTGTGGGCCTATCCTAACCTTTCTTGAGAAACAAAGGGACAAATCCCTGGAAGATTATTTATAGACTCATAGAACCCAAGTATGCATGCAGTTCATTACTGGAATTCCGAGGCTTTACACAAGGCCTCACAGATGTTCCATCTCCTCTCCCACTTTGCAGATAGGCTGCCCGTCTTTTTTGGAAGAGGTACGCACACACTTTGCTTCAGAACAATAGACAGCAGTCCTATTTGTTGTCCCATCCTGGGAAGGAAAACCCTGTATTTGCTGATGGTGGAGCGAGAGGGTCTCAGGCTTCAGACAGGGCCTTTCCCAGAGGGCTGCTGACAGTCAGTGCCCAGCCTCAGATGAACAGGCATGCTCCCCTGTCCCCCATCATGGCCCAACACCGACTGCCAAAGGGAACTGCTCTGCAGACGTGCTGGTACCACACAAAGCGCCCCACCCAGCTTTGCCTGTTCCCTACACGGCAGGTGTCCCCTGTCACCTCTGCCCTGCCACTGGTGGATAACCGCGCTTCCCACTTCCCAGAGCACCAGGCCCTTGGCTGCCCTTTCACTTGGGTCTCCCGGGTCACCCCCAACCCCACGCCCTTTCCCCTTCCTGATTCAGAGAAAGAGGCGTCCTGCTCATACCCAAGGCCATTTCCCCTGCAGGACACCCAGACCTTCTTGTCCAGCTGGTTGGCGACCTCCTCGCCTCCACTGACCTAATCATGGACATATGTCCCCACCACGTTCTCACATTAGAAAACAAGCAAGAGCCTTCCCAGGTCTGCAGCCGCCTTATTTCTCCTCCACCCAGAGCCCTGCCCGCAGCAAACACAGTCCACACCCCCTCCTGTGTCCTCTTCTTCCATTTGCTCCCCAGCCCACTGCAGACTTACCATGGTGTCACCCTGGCCCCACCTCCCCGGCCCAACATTCTCACCCAGCCATTTCCATGAGTTTTTCCTCGTAGTTCTGTGGGGTAAGTTCTTAGAGGTGGACCTGCAGGGCTATGGGGCAGGCACATTTGAACTCTGGGATATTTGTACCCACCTGCCCTCCAGTGATGGTGGATTCACTCCATGTCCTCACTCCTTACCCACATGGCCAGAAATGAGGGACAAAAATTGACAGCTCATTACTATTTTAATTTGGAAATGAAGGAGGTGCAGCTTCTTCCTGTTACACAGAAACGCACATTCGTCCTGCTGCCTCCTGACGGTCACTCTGTGTTCTGACCCCTCCCCCAGCAATTTCACTTCCACTTACTTAGCAGCAGCAGTGTTATTATAATTAACCTTTACTGAGCACCTACTGTGTGCCAGGCCCTGTGCTGAGTGCTATGCAGGCACATCTTGTTTCTTATTCTAATTATTATCATCCCCACTGTACAGCGAGGAAGCTGTGGCTGACAGAGGTGAAATTGCCCGTCCACAGTCACCAGCTTATAAGTGAACGAGCTGGGTTTGGACACAAGCAGTGTGGGTCCAAGGCCCGAGCTTCTAACCTGCACACGCTCCGCCTGCCCTCTGCCTGCCCGCTCCCACACTCAAGCAAAGATGCCACATGCAGAGACCGGAAACCCCAAAAGTGTCATCAACAGGGAAAGAGAAGGAGGCAGGGCTGGGTGCTGCCCAGAAGCCATTGCTAGGATGTATTTTCAGTGAAAAAAACCAGGGGCACAACAGTGTGCTGCACACTTCAAGTTTAAAAAGAGAAAGATTATATGCATGTCTGTACTTGTGTGTGTCTGTGTGTGAACAACTTTCAAGGAGCCATTAATTATAGTTGTTTTCGGAACAGAAAACAAGGATTTGAGGTGAGAAGGAGGTTGGTTTTTAATTGTGTACCCACTTGAATTCTTTGATTTTTTTTAAGCACAGCATAGATTACTTTTTTAAAGTTAAAAAATGCTTTTTAAAGTTAAAAAAATGTGTCATGTGGAGAGATTCTCATATTAGCCCAGGGTGGTCAGCGTCTGGTCAGCACTGAGTATCAGACACATCTCCACGTGACTGTCCCACAAGCAGAGCCGCAAAACAGACCTAAAGCAGCAGTCACTGTCTTTCTCCCCAAAAGTTTCCCTCTTCCCGTCTGCCCTAAGCTTTTTAACGTCACCTGCTCACTCAGGCTTCGAAGGAAAAGGCAGAAACCTGGGCAGCAGCCTGCACCCGCCTTCTTCGAACAAAGGCACCTCCTGCCTGTGCACAGCGCCAGCTGGACATGCAGAATGAGGGGTGAAGAGAGATGAACCCCAGACTTCTCTGATTCTTCCATATTGAACATGCATTTATTTGTTATTAAAAAATAACCTATTATCTTGTAAGACCCAACTGAAAAATCTTACTTTCTAGGAGCGCTCCTCAGGCAGGGAGTGCCCCTCTGCATGGTCCCTCTATTGCACTTAAATGCCTCTGATTACAAATGTTCTCTTACTCTTGTACCCCGTACTAAGCTGGGGTGAGCAGGCGGCAGTTTTAATCACTTTGATCTTTCCACACTTCCACCAATGCCTGTCACTAGTCAATGTTGTTAAATGGAACTATTGGCATTCTGGTGTATTTAATGTTGGTCCTGCCCATAGACTTTTAGTTCCTAATTTCACCATGTCTTCTATCTGTACATTTCCTAGTTTATTTTTTTAGTTAACTATTTTTTTTTAATGGAGGTACTGGGGATTGAGCCCAGGACCTGGCACATGCTAGGCATACGCTCTACCCCTGAGCTATACCCCCGCCCCCTGTACATCTTCTAGTTTAGAATGCTAGACCTATCGTCCCTTTAATAAAGCTGTTTTGAGTGCCTTCTGTGCACCAGGCGGAGTCCTGAGAACACAGACAGGAGTCAGATGTGTCATGTGGAGAGATTCATATTAGCCCAGGGTGGTCAGCATCTGCCCTGGGGACCAAGGAGCCGGAGTTGGGAGGTTGTAGGGGAAGGTGGCACAAAGCAGGTTCCTCTCATCTCCAACTGTGTGGCCCACAGGCTTCAGAAGCTGGAGAAGAACAAAGCGAAAGAGCAGGAGCACTGGACCCGGCTTCGGAGGTATTCCTTGCTTCTCCAAAGAGAGAACTTCAAGAAGTGACTGGGCTGCTGCCCTGGGCTTTCTGAAAAGGTTGGCAGCAGGCAGGATTTGCCCTGGGATGCACACGGTGCGAAGGGCTGCAACTCAGTAGGCCTAAGGGGCCTGGACTTGCAGTCTGGGACCTCTGCAGAGCCAGCAAGGGGAGAGAGCCCTCAGGCAGGCAGATGTATCACCTAAATAAACAGTGACATTGTTTCCAGACTTCAAAGTTACTGCAGTGTGTAACCCTTCTTTCCCACCCAGTCTAGACCCCAGCAGGGCCCAGGCCATGGTGTCAACCTGAGTCCCAGGCCTTGTGAGGACCACTCGTGTTATAGGCCCAGGAGACACTTTGCTCAAGTGAGCAAGACGCCCAGTCCACCCCAGCTATTGTGTGGCCCCCTTTTCTCTCCCCCCTACTTCTTTTCCCTCTCTTTGCTGGCTCATAAGCTTTATGGAATCACTTTGGAGAGGCTGAGGCTCAGAGTGGTTGAGTGACCGCCTGAGGTCACACAGGTAGGAGAGGCAGAGTATGGGCAGGTGAGGAGGCAGGCAGGAACCATGCCATGATTGCCCCTTGCCTGCTGGCTTGGGAACCCTGGCAGAGTATTGGGAGCCTGGGGACGCAGGAGGGGGCAGAGAGGTGCCTTTTTCTTCTCTAGAATCTGCCCTTCTCAGGAAAACTAGGTGGAGGGGTCCCCTGCAGCTCAAGGCCTACGCCTGCCTCTCTGGGGACACCGCGTGGTGCCTTTGAGAACTGCAGGTGGTTATAGCCTTCCAGTTTTTCCCATGATGAACAGCCCATTAAAGCCAACAGCTTGCAGTGTTTTTGACCACAGCTGCTTTTGTGTCCCCATCCACCTCCTCCCCTGGGTCACACATGCTCCTCACTGGCACAACACCTCCCTCATGGCACTGATGCATGGAGCTGAATGTCCCGTGGATGAAGGGGTCCCCACCTGAGACACTGCCCCTCACCCTCCCCACCGTGGGAATGAAGACACAGCAGCAAAAAGAACTTTGACAACAACCCTTTTCCTCTCACAGTAGGCATGGCGGCAGCTCTCTCTGAGATGAGGAAGGAAAACAGGATGATGGTCTTGGCCTTCCACGCCACCTAAATGTGACAAGGCATCTCCATGGTTTGTGTGTTTCACGTGTAAACCTTAAGCACCTCGTGTAATGCAGATAATCCCATCGCCTCCATTTCACAGACACGAACTTGAGACTCAGTTTACACAACTTAGAACATCCCATATCAAGTCCTGATTGACTTTGTCAACAGCAAATGTCAGAAACCCAACTCCAACTAACTTTAGCAACGAAGAGAACTTGTTGGCTCACACAGTGTGAAAATCCAGGCGTAATACCTTCCATGTGGCTGGACCAGGTTTTGTATAACATCAGGAAACTCTCTCCACCTCTGAGTTTTGATTCCCTCTGCTTGGGCAGCAGCATGACCACCAATAGCACCCACAGTGAATGTCCCTTTATCAATGGTTCCAGCAAAGTCCTGAGCCTACTCCTCACTGACCTGCAGGTGGTCACATCACTGAACTACTGACGGTGATGACCGAGCAAGCCTATGCATGTGCCCATCCCTGGAGGGACATGGAGGTCATGGCCACCCAAACTAAGGAAGGTAGAGCTGTCTGGAGAAAAGAAAATGACAGGCTGCAAGGGACAAAGGCAGGCGAGGTGCTGAGCAAGCCAAGACAAGGGAAGTGCCCTGTCCACACTCTCCAAAGTCACGTGCTGCCAACACCAGGCTGCCTCCCCATTTCCTAGTATGTTGGGGGAGACGAGCGAGGGGGAAGAAGGGAGTTGGCGCATTCATGGGGAGCCTTATATGCCAGTCCCACCAGAGGGATGAGGGAGAAGGAACCAGGGCTGGCAAAGGGCCGGAAGATGGGAAGAAGAAGCCTGGATGTTAGGCTGGGAATCCAGGGCTCTAGCCCCTCTTGGGACTGGTGCCCTTTGGGGGCTGTGTCAGTGGCCCCCAAAGAGGTCCTTGCCCACTGGGAGATAGGGCCCCTTGGAAGCACCAAGAACCTCGGGTCTTCTCAGGGGAGTGTTGGAACTAGGAGGAGGCTGGGACTAGGGCGAAGCCAGCATGCAGAGTTTAGGAGGCACTAACTCTCAGGGTTGTGCACCTGGTTCTGGGGGGGAAGGGTGGACAAAGTGGTCCTAGCCTCACCCTGAGATAATTAGGGGCTTTGAAGTTAGAGCTCACTTCCCTCCCCAGCCCTATGCAACCCCGGTTCTCCAGGTAGGTGGTGTTTCAGAGAGCATCTATGTGCCCTTCAGATGGACCTGTTTATTTAGCAATGCATGACCAATTCACGGCCCTCCTCCAGGTGGATCACTTGCCCACCCAAGGCTGAGCCCAGCTTTCCAGCCATGCTCCCACAGAGTCTGCCATCCGCCAACGCAGGCAACTCATGACCACCACTCCTCTGCCCCTGGGTTCAGATTGTGACCTATGTGGTGTGTCCTTGAATAAATGTCTTGAATGTAGAACAATCAGCTTAGCTGATCCTCCTTAAAACACTGGCCCACCCAGCATCAGCATCCACACAGTACAGCTGTCTTGGCGGGAGCAACCTGCGTGGTCAGCAGGCAGAGGCAGGTCCCTATGGGGGACAGCACTGGTGGCCCACGTGCTTTAGGAACTTTATTTCACACCCCTCAACATGTGCACACACACTTGTCCACCACAACCCACCGTTGTCTCCACCCCAACAGCTGCCTTCTAGCTTTGTGAAAAGTTCCTAGACTTTTTTCTGTGCTCCAGGATCCTCATCTGTAAAGTAGGTATAAGCACCACCTGCCCGCCTCACCTGCGGCCCTGAGGCTAAAACGACTTGAAATTTGTTGGTGAATTTAAAGCCCTCAACACTGACCTGGGCCATCTAGCTGCTCCGTATATTTCCGTCTCTCCACCACGTGGGTTCTCACCGGTTGGGCTGTGAAGGCAGCTCTTCGGAAAAGGAGGGGAGGGCTGTTGACCAGCGGTGACCAGAGCGCAGGCAGGATCAGCAGACCAGCCAGCCCCCGGGTGCTGGTGCCATCCTCTCATGCCTCCCACTTCCAGCACACATGCGCCCAGACCGCTCCGGACCAGGCCACCTGGCCCGGGGCCCAGGTGAAGTGAGACGCCACCCGGTACCCTCTGTCCTTGTTCAGCTGTCACAAAGGCCGTGCATCTGTGGAGAAGCACACAGGCTCTGGAGTTGCACGTGGGTCCCAATCCCAGCACTGCCCCTGAATGTCTGTGCAGGCTTGTTAGCCTCTTCCTTACCTAACTTCCCCATCCTTAAGATGGCCCTGCTAACTGTGCTTACTTCACAGGTTAGCTGAGGACTGAGAGGGAGCACTCGCTCAGGGCTTGCCCACCTGGACGCTGCTCATGATCCTTCTCCCTCTGAATGGGTACACCGTTTCCTCCTGGGGGCTGTGAGCAGAGCTGGCCCAGGAAGGGGGTGGAGGCGTGGGAGTGGTGGGAGGCGCCCCCTTCCAGTCTCCAGTCCTCTCTCTTATTAGCAGGAACGTGTTAATGAAAATTCACACCCAGGTGCTAATAAACAGTGGGCCGCTCCTGGGCTGGGAGAGGGAGGAGAAGCTCTCTGCAGGAGATGGGGCTGGCCGAAATGACCTCACTTATCTGTGAAAAGACTTGCTAATAACTTTAATTCCTCATCCTAAACCACGGAGCCTTTGCCATGCAAACAGATTTTCTAAACCAGGCAGGCCCCGGGAAAGACTCCTCGGTCGCTCCAGGTAGTGTTCTGGGACGGAGGACTGAGAGGGGGTGGAGGTGCAGGAAAGGGGGCAGAGCAGTGAAGGTGTGAGGTCCCACCCCTTGCAGGGCCTCTGCTTTTGGATCCCTCTCTCTATAGCCAAATGCTGGCCAGGGTGTGCCTGGACTCTTGAATTCCGCAGCAGTGCCCCACCACCCAACTCTGAATTACTGCCCTTCCTGGCCTGGACCAGGGCTGGGAATGATCTCTGAAGTCGTTTCAAAACAACCTATCAATATCAGTGGGTAAATAGATAAATTGTGGTATATCCATGCAATGAAATCAATGAGATATTATTGGGCAATGAAAAGAAATGAAGCAATGATACATGAGAAAACATGATGCTCAGTGAAAGAAGCCAGACACCAAAGGCCTCGATATATGACTCCATTCATATGAAATGTCTGGAACATAGAGATAGAAAGCAGGTGAGCGGGCTGAGGGGAGGAGAAGGAGTATGGAATAATGCGGAGCTGCTGCTAATGGTTGGTTACAGGGCTTCTTTTGGGGGTGAACAGTGATGATGGTTACATAACTGTATGAATATACTAAACCCACTGAATTATGTACTTCAAAAGGGTGAGATTTATGGTACATAAATTATATGCCAATAAAGCTCTTATAAAAAATACCAAGGTCAGCATTTCAAAGATGCTTGAGGGGGGCAGAGGGAAGAACTGAGTATCTATAGATGGTGGAGGGACCCTCAGGCAGACAGGCTACACCTCCTTGCACACCTACCCCCAGGCCTGACTGCTCACCAGATTCCCTGACTGAAGCCAGCCTCCTTCTGGGCTCAAGGTTCCCCTCTTTCCCACACAGCACTTCCCTTATCTGAATCCAAGCCAATATAGAGAAGAGTGTGGCAGCTTGGCCTGGTTCCAAATCAGCTGTGACTCTGGATGCAAACCTAATGGATCTCTCATCTCACCGTAGCCACAGGTCTCTTGGAGTTCATGGTTACATAAACTCGGGACTGACCCACTGGTGTTATTTTATGTCTCTAAACCACATGGAAGAGAAGCCAGAGTGAGGGGAGATGGGAAAATCCCAGGGTCCAGGCCATGATGCTTCAGTATAAGGGGAATAAGGACTTCGGATACATGCAATGAACCCTTGGAGCTGGTGTCCCCTCAGGCCCCAGAATGAATGGAGCTGGCAAAACCCTACCAGGGCTGAGAGCTCAGATCCTGAAGTCATCCTGAGTGCTGATCTTTGGTTTATTCTTCTGTAAAATGATCACTTGAGCATAAAATGTACAAAGAACCCGATGCACAGGAAGTACTCACTAGTGGAAATGTATTTTCTAAGGAGATAGTTGGCTTTATCCTCTCCCCACCAAGTTCAAAGCAAAGATGGACAGACTCCACTGGCTGCCACTTTCTCACATGCAGCTCCACACCCTTCAAGCTGACCTATCTGGAACAGGAGGTGCTAAGCCAAGGCTGGGGGCAAGGAGAAAGGGGTCTGAGCCTGGGTGCTTTGAGGGCTGAAGATACCAAGAAACCCTCCCAACTCTCCCACGTTCTTTGGAGAAGGGGAAAGGAACTTTGTGTCCATGTAGCGTAAAAAGAACTTGCCAACTGACACCAGAACATAGTTTATTCACAAATAAATAAATACATACTAGGCAGAGCCTCCTGCCTGCCTCAAAGTGTCTACCCTAAGGGTCTCTCCATCGCGGGAGGGATTGGAGAGGGCCATCCTGGATGGGGACAGACTCTCACGTTCAACAATGCCCATGCCAGTATCCCCGGTGCCCTCTTCCAGGAAAGGGAGCCTGGAGAGGGACCGCTTCGAAGGCGCGGCGGCCAAAACGGCGTCGGTGCTCACAGAACAGGGCGCCAGTTGTCCGTCGTCACTGCAACTGTTCAGGCCGGTGGCCACTCCAGGGGCATCCAGGTCTCCAGTAGTGCCAGCACGTCCCCGTCGCCGGGAAAGAGCTGTGGGGAGAGAAGGGACAGCGTGGACCTCAGCGTTGCCCGCCGAGCGTGGGTGTCCGCCCTCGCGAGCTCCACTCTCGGGGCATTCTAGCGGGGAACGGGACCCCGTCCCCTGCGTGTCCTCTCCCTCACCTTGCCGCTTGAGCGTCCCGGGCACGCCAACTATGTTGCCCAGAGAGGCCTGGCCACCGGTGGCGGGGCAGGTCTCCGCAGTGCGCGCCGGGGGCACGAGACAGTAGGTAGCGCCACCCACCACGGTGCAGGGCAAGGAGTTCCGCGCGAGGAAGGAGGTACTAACCGGAGATGCGTGGTCTGGCTCCATCGCCTGCCCTTCGGGGCACGCCGCCTCGTGGTAGAGCACAGGCAGGTCGCGCGGCTCGGGCGCCTCTAGGGGTGCAGGGCAGGCGGGCGGGGACCCCCAGCACGCAGCGGCGCTGGCGGCTGAGCCCAGGCCGGGGCCGCACGTCTGCGTCTGCTTGGGGCCGCCGTCGGGGCACAGCGCGCAGCCCCGAGGGAGCGCTGAGTCGTTGCGGCGCCGGCGCTGCAGGCTCTCCTCGCTGAGGCCCAGCACGGCCGACAGGTGGCCGATGTAGCGGATGGCCAGGCGCAGCGTCTCGATCTTGGTCAGGCTCTGGCCGGCGGGTGCCACG